AATTCACAGATAATAAAGAAAAGGAATTTGTGGAGTGTAACGATCGTCTCCATCCTAAAGAGATGAAAATAAGGAAATAAATTAAGAATTAATTAATTTTTCACTAACATTAGAGGGTTTAATTTGTGAATGAAGTTGACTTTTATAAAAAGTATCTTCCATAATTCCCACCTGAGACTGGACTTTTAAGCCATCAGGCAATTTACAATTATTACTCTATAACAGTATTATTCAATAAATTCTTAGCCGTAGGAGAGAACAATATTGAATCAACAAAATAAGACTGTGTTTTTATTTATACAGTCTGGAGAAATTGATACATTGTTAAAAAAGTTAAGCCTTTTTATTTGATATTTTTAATTGGATTATTAACTGAATCTTTATTTTCATAGTCTAACAGACTGGACAAAGAATTTGAACCAGAATCTTCAGCTGTATGTTCAAATAAACTTTTACTGAGAACTAAGTTTCATGGCAAGAAGAAACCCCAGTTTATAAAAAAAAAATTAAAAAAAAAAAAGGGGGAAAAAAATTGTCAAAATTAAAATTAATCCTTGCCTTGGATAACTGAATTCCTGTTTTCAAAAGCAAAAGAATTTCCTGTCACCCAACTATGTAATTGATTTTTAGGGAGGATCCATTTTATGCATTTTGGAAAAAACATTGATAAAATCTAGTTGACGGTAATCAGCAATTAATGTTTTTATATGTTTATAAAACACTGAAAGAAGATTGTAAATTAAATTAGCAGAGTTTGTCACATCCTGACATCACTTCAATCTTTCAGTTTTGATGCAAGAATGTTTACAGGATATTTAAATGGAAAATTAGCAACAGTACTAAAAGACAGTACAAGCAATTTGAAGAGACATGTTGTCACTTTATCCCCACTTACCATCATCATTATTCTTACCCATTCACTCTGTTTACAGATTCTCAGGACTATTGCCATCCAATTCTATTGTTAATGATACGTCCTCACAAATCTGCTTAATATCAGATTTTGCATGTCGTCCTCTGCTCCTTTTCCTTGTGCAAGCGCCCACAAAAGAACTTTGCTAACAATTTTGTCCTTAGCTCTCCAGGAATGTCCTGTGAATCTGACTCTACAATCATTGATAATGTCTCATATTGGATGAGGGTTCACATATAATTGCTCATTGGTCAGATGATCTCTCCAAGTGACATTCAAAGCCACTCTTAGCATGCAAGTGTCGGCTTCATCCAATCTTTTTTCCATATTTGAGATTGAGATAAGGGTCCATGCAGAGCAGCCATACAATAGAACAAAGGTAATAGTTGTTTAAAAGAGGTTCCTTTTCATGCTGACCGGAAGTTCAGACGGTCACACTACAGATAACTTGTAGACAGCACTTCAGGCTTTACTAATTTGTGTACTTACATCACTTTTGCAGCTAGTGATTTTATTACCTAGATAAGTAAATTCTTCTATGTGATGTGTGCCAGATACTATTTTGATTGTTTCAGTTTGTTTCAGCTTATGTATTCTGTTTTGTCTGAGACAATGGAGATTGATACCTTTGGTTGAATGTTCTAGACTATGAAGAAGGGATTCTGCTTAGCTTATTAAATCAGAGAATAGAGTCAAATTATCAGCATAATCTGCATTCATGTGTGTGTAATCAGCTAATCAAAGATTAATTACAATCACCCAGCTATATTATATTCCTATAAAATATCATTCAAAATTAACTGTCTCATGTGTATTAGTGGGAATCAAGTGACAGTATGTCTCCTCAAATTGCTATATCAGATATTATGCTATCCTTAAATATATATATATATATATATATATATATATATATATATATATATATATATATATATATATATGGTAGTACTCCCTCGAAAAACCTAGCTCAACTTGCAGTAGAACAAATCAGTACCCAAGGAAAAATAGAAAATAAAAAAAAAAAGAACCAAGAAAATTAAAACAAGGTGAAAACAAGTGTTTAAGCTCCAAGTCTAAAAAAAAAAAAAATCCCAAAACGAGTAAAAAGACAATGACGTAAAGTGCTCAATACCCTAAGTAGAGCGATAAATGGATCTTCAGGGTAAGGCAGCTTTACCCTGAGGATCTGTTTAAGTGAAACTTAGGTAGGCTTGCCTGGTTCCTTAGGATTATTTAGGTGTATATATATATAAGCTTTTTTTGTGTAACAATTAAGGGCAGTATACAAAAGACCTCATTCACATCCACATGCAAAAAGCTAACTACAAGCCAATAGCCTTCTTCCCCTATCTCTTTGCATGAATGGTGAGGAAGAGTGTGTTGAACTACGACAAGAACTGCTCCATAAGAACTAAATTATATTGATTCTCAACAATCAGAATTTTGATATTTAACAAAAACCTTAATAGAAGGATGGACAGCTTTACATTACTGTGCTTTGGGAACTTTTGCAGTAAAAAAAAAAAAAAAAAAAAAATTTGGTTGTAAATATGTAACATAGATGTTTACAAATTGTACACTGATCAATTATTAACATTAGCAATGAACTATTTTAAATTACAAAACTGTAGAATGATTAAACAAAAATTACTTAAAATATAATAGGTATTACTTATCATACATTCTTTCTTGCTGTCAATTTTGACAGCATGGGTACACTAGTATAATAAAAATATATAATATATAAGGTAATATACTATGAGAAGATATAAGATAATATGCTATATTCCTTTGTATCTTGTTGGTACAGTCAAGAGTGAGGTGGAGTATATATTCTGGGCAGCAGACAGGCTCCATATAGCATTGCCTTGGTCTGTGTCCTGGAGAGGTCACTCCAGTCTCACCACCAAAGGATTGAATTTTGACCAAACAAAGCCCTAACTTTATCTCACACATATGCCTAAAGACATATATAAGATATCATATACTATAAGAATATTAAGATGACATTACATAGAATAATATATTACATCAGATACTATAAAATATGTGGGTACTTCAATATGGAGTAATGGTTAGCAAATTATGACTGAGCAGTGAGTTTGATCCTTACTGGGTGCTCCATACTTTCAGCCTTGTGCAACATCTAAGCTCAGTAAATCGCTATAAGATATAGGAGATACCATAGCCCCATAACTTGACAGTGCTTCATTTAGTTAAAAACTTTGTTAGAGACAAAGAAAAGAGTACTGAAGTGTTATGTTATGTCTGTCCTCCTATATGGTAGCGAATGCTGGACAGTTTTCTCAAAGATGAAGAAAAGATTTGAAGCAATAGAAATGTGTTTTTACAGAAGGATGCTGAGGATATCATGGACCAAACATGTGAACAATGATGAGGTTTTAAAGAAAATGGAAACAAAAAGGAAACTTATGCTTAACACGAGGAACAGACAGTTGAAATTTCTGGGGCATATAATGAGGAAGAAGGGCTTGGAAAATCTGATACTCACAAGACAGATTGAGGGAAAAAGGACAGGTAATTGCGGAGAGCCATAACCTCATAACTGCATTAGAGCCAGTTACCTGTACTGTTCCAGTAAATACCTGACTTTTTGTGCCACCGTCTACCTTTATGAGATCCAGATCAGGCCTAAAATGGAGTACCACTGCTATATTTGTGCAAAAGCTGTTTAGTCTTCACTTTCCAGTCTCATAGAGTTCAAAAGCATCTCCGTGTTCTTGTGGGTGGCAAATTATTTTCCACCCTACAACCCCTTTTCTCACAGACAAAATGTCGCAAGCCTCTCGCTGCTCTATTGCTATTTCGATGGAAAGTGCTTAGACAGGCTACATTCTTTAGTTCTAACTTTCATGGCTAAGATCCACCATGATACACACATTATAACAAACCACCCTCATTCCTTTCCTATCTCATTTGTGAGATGTACGTTCTACTCGAGCAGCTTCTTTCCACAAACTACTGCTCTGTGGAACCGACTCCCAAGAGGATGTTTGCCGATCACTACAATCTTAATCTGTTCAAGTCTAGAGTTAACCGTTACCTTCCCCACATGTCTGCATAAACTGTGTCTCTTTCATTCAACCCTCTGCCTTTAGTGGCTATCAGGCCTTGTACAGGGTGAACTTCATTGTTAAAAAAAAAAAAAATACTATTATGAAATCAGTATTGGTACAAGTGCAGGTAGTATACAAATTCTTATAAACTTTAACCTCAGTTCCGTTAAACTTGAGATATTTTTGGGGAAATATATTTTTTTTTTAAAGTCAATGTCTTATGTCATTAAATATGGCAGTCAAAGAAAAACATAATAACTGCATTTTAAAATTGGTATTATGTTTTATTTAGAAAGATTTCATTTTAAATGTTTACTTTTTCATACAATGGATAAATTATTTGTTTTTATAATAGTGTTGACAATGCCAAAAATCTGCACCTTTTTTTGAGGAAATATGTCTGGAATACTTTTCAAGTGTGTTTGAAGTTAAACAATCAAGAATTTTACGCTTAAGACCAAGCTTGCATTTTTATTGTACTGTAACATGAAGAATATTGTCGAAAAGATTTGTTTTTCTATGTATTTACATGCAGATTATTGTCTTCTTACTCATTGTTATCACATTTCGACCATTGTATCCTCTAGCCTTCATCAGGCATATGTAAACCCAGGTAACCTACAGGAAATTTCCAAACTGAACCCTTTATAAAAAAAAAAAAAAAATCAAGAAGAGACTAGGGAGTAGAATTTTCTTATTCCATGTCTAAGGTGATCTCATCTAGACCTCATTTTTAGTACTACACAGTTATTGCTTGCACTGTTTCCACTGAATCCAAGTACATACTGCTCGGTCCAGGGATTGAACTCACAATTACTGTGTCACCAAATTCACAGACCAAGTCTTTAATCCACTAGGCTATTTTTTCTATTTTTATGAAAATTTACATCAGTCTATTTTATTTTTTAAACAATGATTAAAAAGTTGTTAATAGTGTCAAAAATTATATTCTTAGAAGTAAAAAAGAAAAAATTGCTTTTGATCTGAAATGCTCAGTTAGGGAAATAGTTTTAATGGTTATCATCTAAAAAAGAATTGAATATTTCTATGGCATCCTGTTTATCATGAGACACATACTGAAAGGCAGTTTTTCCTTTATTATCAGTAATACTCTTTAATGCTGGAGAATTTTCCAACAATTCCTTTAGGATTTCTGTGTGACCATTCTCAGCAGCCTACAAAAAAATGGAGAAACAAGTTAAAATTTCAATAAGTTGGAAATTAAAAAAAAAGGTAAAAGAAAGTAAAATGCAAGTTAGTATAAAAGTAAAACAAAACATACAGAGACTATGTTGGGAGAAGTAGTAAATCACAAGGTATCGATTAAGTAATCTAAAAAAAAAATGTAAAAATATAAAAGTTAAAAATAATATAAAAGTTAAAAACTATAAAAATTAAAAAAAAACATAATTAGTGAGAAGGCAAATCTAAATAATATTTTCTTTATCGACAATTTTCTTTACACTATTGTTAGCATAATACAAGCCACTCAAAATAGAGGGTTACAGACGTGGACATAATGCAGAGAATACCGTGGACCGAACATGTGAGCAATGACAAAGTTTTTTTGTCTAAAATGGAAACACAAAAGGACAAATATACATAACATTAGAAAGAGGCAGTTGAAATTTCTAGAGAATATAATAAGGAAAGAGGGCTTGGAAAATTTGATACTCACAGGATAGATTGAAATAAAGAGGCACAGAGGAAAACAATGCATAACCTATTGAGTAAATGGATGGCAGAGCAAGGTTTAGAAGAGATAGTAAAAAGACAAACTTTATTAAGCATTACAAAGGGTAGGAAATTGTGGAGAGCCATGATCGCCTATGTCATGAAGGGACACAGCACACAGAAAAAGAAGAATTATAGATTATGAGGATATATAGGATAGCTAACAGTTATCCCTAGGCTTAAAGAGTTTAAGAGTGTAGTGGTCAGGGAAGCATTCTCATGGGAGTTTCCCCACAAAGCATGGAAAGAGCTATCCAAATGGAACTTCTTAACCAGTGGAATGTGAAGGGAATGAGAATGGTTTGTTCCTGTGAACATGTCATGGCAAGTCTTTTCTGTAAAGGTCTGAACTGACAGAACTACATTAGATCAGGACATTTTTCATGGAAAGAGCAATAGAGAAATGATAGGCTTACAAGTCCGTCTATAGTTTCTGCTATTATTTATAAACTAGATTCTGATAAACAATAAAGCTTCCATTTCTCTTGGTCTACTGCTGGTGTGTTAACAGTGTGGGAGAAGAAGGTGTTTGAGTAGAAGAGACAGTTACATTTAACCATTTTGACAGTGAAAGAGTGAGACCGAGATGCCAACCTGGTAGCTCAGTTAAATTCCTGCAGTCTGGGAACCAGCGAAAGTAGCTCGTCTGAACAGATGCCGTGAAAATACTTGTAGAAGAGACAGAATTTGTAATATTGCAAGAACAATTTTTTTTTGAGAATAACAATGATTTTTCCAAATACATGTTCTAGTAGTATTATTTATAAACTAGATTCCAACAAAGCTTTTGGATTTAACAGTATCACTGAAAATGTCCTAAAGAAAGGTGCTTCTGAATTGGCTCCTGTTCTTTTCAAACTTTACAAGAAATATTTTACTACTTCTTGCTTTCAAACTTGTTGGAAGTCCTCCACTGTAGGTCATATCTTTAAAAACTCTGGAGAACTATCTACCCCTTAACTGGTTGTCAAATTAGTCTCTTACGTCTTTTCAGCAAAGAATTAGAGGCTTTAATCAATGCTGGATTGGTTAAGCATCTTACTTCACAAAACCTCCTTTCAGATAAACAATAAGGCTTCCATTTCTCTTGGTCTACTGCTGGTATGTTAATAGTGTGAGAGAAGAAACTGAGTAGAAGAGACGGTTATATTTAACTGTTTTGACAATGAAAGGGTGGAACCAAGATGCCAACCTGATAACTCACTTCATGCAGTCTGGGAACCAGCAAAAGTAGCTCATCAGAACAGTTTCCATGAAAATACTTGTAGAAGAGACAGAGTTTGTGAGTAATATTTCAATAACAATTGTTTTGAGAATAACAATGATTTTTCCAAATATAGGTTCTAATAGTTAACCCATTGATTGTAAGAAGAGATGGAGCCATACCTTGATATGGTGAAGAAGTTGGTAAGAAATGAAGTTTATGAGGATAGGGAGAATAGATAACAACTGAATCTTGAATTAAAATGGTCAAGATGGAAGTGTTAAATCAAGCCCCTACGTGAGAGACTGTTCCACAAAGTTCTTACATTTGGAATATGAAGGAAAATAAGGATTATTAAACTCCAAGTAAGTAGCAAGACAAGTCTGAGATGTGAAGATCTGAACTAGTGGATCTAGAGAATGGAGTTCATCTGAACATCTGCCATAAAAGTAGTGACAGAACAATAATAGGCTCATGATATTGATTCTATAGGAAAAAGGCAGCAGATTGGAGAATCAGTCTCCTCCAACAAGACTGTATAAATAATTTGAGACTATATTAAAACTATAAAGTAAAGATTGAGCAGCTCCAATCCAGACATGGTTGCAATAATCCATTTTTGGTTTAATCTGTAGTGTTAATGCTCAGACCAGATACCCAGTTCATTGACAGGGTGCAGCTTCTTCCAGTCAAATGCTTGTGGCTTAAAAATGTAACCTATTGCTATAGAAGAGTGGGCTGAGCTGAGACATAGGTGAATAGGCATTTGTTGTTCTGTGTGGGCACTCGTGGTCTTTGAATTTTTTGTGGGCAGTGGTCACTGTTATATAGAGAACATTGTTCTTTGACTTGTCATTTATCTTTATCTTTTAATTTATATTCATTCAATGACTTCTATTTGTTCAGACTTCTTGGCTTGTATTTGTGAAGTCCACTTCGCTTACTGATAACTATCGGGGGGGGATTGTCTGAATCCATTATTGCAACATGTCCAGCTGACTGATATCGCTACAAATCTGACTCTTAAATGATGGAGTTAGATAGGGTGATAGAATGTGTCAACCATTTTCCCAGAATCTCTGACAATTGATTGGATATATGAATTCCCCTTGAGGATTGAAATGAGCTCAAGATACAAGAGACATTCAAAGTATGGAGCATCATTGAAAATGAAACCATTCATCATGATTGGCTAGCATTCAGAACTTGTTGGGTGATTATGGAATGATACCTGATTGTTTTTTTGAAATATTGAAAGGAACAAACCATTTACTTTCCCATTGAGTTATTAGAGCTAAATCAAAAAAAGATTAACTGTAGGGATCCGATCATCTTGGTTTTTAGATGTTTATTCATAATGACGATAATGAAGGAAAACAAAGGCAAGAGATGGTGTATTCATAAAATTTTTTTTTAAATGGACAATGGCAGACAAGCAGGGAAAAAAACACACTCCCCCCCCCATCTTAATCAGATTCAAAAACAAAAAAAAAAAGTCGGGTGTTTTAAATGTTACTGTTATAAGAACAACAATTCCAGAAAATACTTTAATGAAGTTCATTCCCTAGCGATCCATGACAATGATAAAACGTCAAGCAAATAAGTAGGACCACCTTTTTACATCTACAATACTTAAAGCTTTCTTTTCTACTGAAGTGTACTTTTGTTCAGTCAATTTTAGCATTCATGAGAAGACAACTCATTGGCTGGCCTAATTCAAAGCAATGGAAGCATCAGTCTTGACTAGTAGGTGAATATTTTCTTCAATAACATGAAGTAAAACAGTTCCATTTTCTTTCTTAAGATTCTTCAAGGCTTCCACAGACTTGGAATTTAAAGGGAATAAGTCAGCCATGATTAAAGGTTTGGTTTTGTCCAAAAATTTGGATATGCATTGGCAGTAAAAGGAAAACAAAGTGCTTGACATAGGACAGCCTTATCTTTAGAGATAAGTAATTCTTTAAGTAGGCATAATTGATCCACATCAGGTTTAAGCACTCCATAAGAAATGGTGTAACTGAGAAAGTTGATAGAAGAGGCTAATAGGAAGGATATTATTTTTTATTGAAAGTGAGATTATTTAGTTTGGCTACCTCTAGAGATTTTTAGAAGGTTTTATCATGTTCTTGATTCTTCCTAACTGCAACAATGTTATCTATAGAAGTGTAAGTTCCACCAAAATTATTCCTCAAAATAATGTTGTCCATTATTCTCTTGAAGCAGGCAAAGCCGTTAGTGACTTTGAATGGAATTCATCAAAACTGATATAGTTTGCTATTGGCTTCAAATACAGCAGTTTGTCTTCCTCTGGAATGGGTATCTTGAAATAAGCGCTCTTCAAAATCCAAAGAAGAGTAAATTTAAATCAGCATTTCCAGAGCATCTAGATTTAGTAGTAATAGATTTGCAGTTAGGATCAAGATTTGAGAATAAATTTGTTTGTTTAGCAGGACATCAACTCCTTCGGGGTCATTTAATGCCAAAAGTTAATTTTCTTGGGAGCATTAGTAATTTCTTTTACAAAAATGTATTGCTGGTAATTTTTTACTATAAAATTTTTTATTTTAACACTAGACAGTTAACTATTTGCCCACAGCTGGGGCCCTAACAGATGCTACCACCCCAGGTCAGGATGAACTGGAGAACAACAGCAATTAAGAGGTGGTTCTACGATCCTCAAAATCTCCTGATCAGAGGCCTTGTTGCCAGATGTAGTTTATCATCATTCCCAGGATGTTTGAGAATTAGAAGGTAGACTGCAAGCAGTTAGATTTTTATATGCAAACAACACACTAGGAGGTTGGCCGAGAATAATGCCACAACAAATATTGGGGTAGGCAGAAAGTTGAAAACTCAGATTTAGTTGCTGAGGTTGAATTCAAAGGGTTTCAAGATTTTTTCCATGATCTTTCAATATGCTTTGTTTATTAAATTGCTATAACAACAACAGAACCAGAAAATACCTTAATAAAGACTTTAATAAACACTGTGGCCTGTGACAAGGTCAACACTAAATAAGAAAAAACTAAGCTAAAGCAGATGCCAAGTATATATTGACCAGTGTACTAAGGGAGGTAATAATTGAATGAAGAGTTCCAATTTAGGGAAGTAATGTACATGACAGTTACTTAAAGAGGTTCACATCTTCTTTATCAAAATGAATAAATAAATCAAATTGGCATTTGCAACCTTGAATGACGAAAAACAAAGTCACAATTATTATGGGAATGATTGTGT